CCCCATTCCAGCCTCTTTGGGAAGTGCTCTGCAATTTGCAAACATAGAGCCTTGCAGGACATAAACCAAATCTTTGTTCACCATGGGATGGGAGGCCTGGGAGGCCTGCGATAAAGCAGGCACTATCTATATTTTCTAATTAAAATGAGACCTGAGGTCAGGCCGCCATATCTCTCCCCCCACCCCACCCCAGCTGCTGCCTTGCTTACTTCCTTTTCAACAAGAATTTACAAATCCAAAAACAAGGAAACCCCCCTGGTCTCTGATGACATGTGGTTCCAGTTATACCTGCTGACGGCTGGAAATCCTTTCGTTTAAAAAAAAAAAAAAAAGGTTTAGCATTCTGTTAGTTTAAGAAGCAACTCGGAAAGTTCCTAAAATGTATATTTAATCAATTTGCTTTTGAACTTCAAAGTGAGGCTGGTAGAGGGGAGGGAATGGAGGTTTAAGCAACCTGAAACTTGGCAAACACTGCCCTGACCGGTCCTCCGCAAATCACATCCTAGTTGGAAGTAAAATTTTAACCAGGTGTTAGGAAGTGGAGCAGAGAGGCGGCAGAGCCCCTTGTGTGAACAGCCATAGGCCCTGGTCACAGAGTCTGGGTGGTATGACAACTTAGCAGAATTGTCCTGGTCACCTGGAGCTCACAGGCAGGAGATGTGCCTGTCATGAAATGAATGGCTTTCCACAGATGTGGGCTTGCTGGGGTCACTCTACTTTAAAATGCCCCAGTTAGCAGACATGCCTGTAAATCTAAATGAACAGTTCAACCATGGGGACCAGCCATGATGACTTCTCTGCAGGCCACCAGACTGCACAAGCAGCTTTCTTAGGGAAGCAAGGTCACTGGTCCTTAACGCATTAAGGTGCTCCGATTTAGCAACAGGACAGGGATCCAGGCTCTCTCCCCCCTAGGAGGAGAGCTTCAAACAACACAGGTGACCCCAGCTCAGCTTATAGCCCCTAAAGGATTTTCACAGGCTCACAAAACATCCCCAGAACAGTCCAGATCAAGTCATCGGGCAGTCTAGCAGAAGGCCCTCTGGGCCAGCCCACAAAGCCTGACTCCCTCACTGGGATTTAGATTCCACTATACCCCAGAAGTCTTCATCATCGTGGCTTTCTGGGCTGCCTACAGGTTGCGAGCTAGCTCTAGAGGCTACTCTGTAGACACATGCTGTGGGAAGGACTTCAAGCCGGCAAGGCTTGTTGTGTTTACCGTGAGGATTAGCTGTGTGACAGGAAGCAGTCTTCCTGTTCATCCCCAAGGGAAGTGCTAGAGGAAGGTGGGTGTTGCCACTTGGCTACCCTTCCATATGCCCTGGTGAGTGTTTTCACTGCTCTTGTAAGACAGAGACACTCTGTGAGGTCCCTAATTAGCAGAATTAATGGAAATCCCCAAATGTACATAGTCTGACTCAGCAATCTCACATCTCAGTATTTTCTCCAAAATGTACACAAGGGAACATGGACAAAGATGCTCACTGAAGTAAGCATAATGGGGAATCCAGAACAACCTCTATATTCATCAACAGGGGAACTGCTAAGCATGCCATCTCATCCCACACTGTGGAGTGCTATCCAGCAAGTTAATATCCACGGTGCTAACAGCATTCTCCGTGAGTTGCTTGCTCTGAAGTGGGATGATAGATGCAACATATTTATGAAAACAAAACAGGAACCTGAATTGATCAGCTGGAGAAAAAGTCAGCACAGAGCTAGTGCCTAGACTGCCATGGATGTGGGATCAGAGCTGCAAACAAGGAACGCCTGTATATTACTTACTGTGTGACACGCAAACGCAAACTTGCTGCAAACTCGCCTACCGCAGGCTATTTTTGGAACAGCAGACAGACTGCTTCCCAAACCTGTCTGAAGACAGAAATGGCCTGGAATGATTGTTAAGACAACAGGCTCCTGGCCTCCATAGAGTCCCAGGTGACTCTTATCAGGAATAAGCAAGAGCTAGCTGTTGTCGTCATCGTCGTCCCTGTCCTCCCCCCAAGTCTGAGGGCAAGCCTCCAGTGACTATTCTGGAATTTCACTTTGCCCAGCTACTTCTCAGCCCTGCTCATGAAGCTAAGCAAATGTGGCTCTCCTGCTTACTGAAGGTCAGTGGAAGTGAGAAGTATCCTAACAAACCTTGGTTCATCATCTGAGAATCTACTTTAAATGGAGAAGGCAGCACAATTCTGAGAGCTGGTTCCAACTGAGCAACATGGCCTGCATAGAGGGTTCCTCAAGCAAGCTCCCTGCCTTGTTCCCCCACACACACCACCATCCAGAGAATGAGGGACCAAGGAGGTTTCCAGTCCAGGAGACCACAGGGCTCCGCTCAGGTGCTTTCAGGCCCTGTCTACCAGGCTCTCGGAGCACACAGACACCTCCAACTCCTGGAAGGGCTTGCAGCACTGCCAAGAGGAGCACACAAGTCCCAGATCCAACCTGCTAACAAAGAAGGAGAGAGCAGCTGCCATCTTCTAAGATGGAAACAAGCACCTCCCACGCTCACTGCTCCACAGGTACCTCCTGACTGCAAGGCACTTTGAGTACCTGCTGCTTCTGGGAACTGGTATAGCAGTTCCAGTTCAGCTATGGCCTTGCAGGATTGGGGGACTTTATCATGCTTTTCCACCCCTGGGAAGTGAGAGGGAGGCACCCCACGAGGGCCCAGACTCTTGCCAGGCCATGACATTTTTCTGTTTACTTCAGGTGAAGACAAGGTCCAGTCAGACCGGTTCTCATTGACTCACCACCAACACTGACCTTAGTTTCATTAACAGTTTGAGGCTATGGCTCTCTAGAAAACTGAGGAAACTGCACCCCCACTCCTGTGTTTATATACATGGTGAACCCCAGATTCACTCCACACTAAGATCTCTCCCATTAGAACCACTTTAACCAATAGTGAAAACAAACATGCTGGTTTCTGTGCTGAGGTAGCAGGTGGAGGGCCATCAGGAGCTTGCTCCATGGTACTTCACCTAGCTAAAAATGAACAGTGTAGACAGCCAGGTGTGGCGGCACACACCTTTAGTCCCAACACTCGGGAGGCAGAGGCAGGCGGGATCACTGTGAGTTCGAGGTCAGCCCAGTCTAGAAAGCAAGTTCCAGGACAGCTGGGGCTGTCTCACAGAGAAACCCGGTCTCAAGCAAAACAAACAAAAAAGTGCACTACAAAGACAAGGCCTGTCATTCACTGGGGGGTAGGGGAGGCAGGGCACCACAAGCATTATGGCCCTGGGC